GCAGGAGAGGTTGGCCTAGGAATCCAGAAGGGGTTTGGCCAGGCACTGAAGGGCTCACCCCCAACCTGTGTTCCTGGTCCAGGTGGGCTGGGTCCTGGGCCCGGACAGTCTCCTGAAGCACCTGCGCACTGTGCACCAGAACTCCGTCTATCACTGTCCGACGCAGGGCCAGGTGAGGAGGGGCGGGCCCACACCACAGGGGGAGGGGGCGGGACAACAAGGGACCCAGGCTGGCTCCAGGGTCAGGTCACACCCTTTTGTTCCTTTCCCCTCCCTAGGCCGCAGTAGCCCAGAGCTTGGAGCGGGAGCAGATGCTCTTTGGCCAGCCCAGCAGCTACTTTGCGCAGCTCCCTCAGGCCATACAGCACAACCGGGACCACATGATACGAAGCCTGCAATCGGTGGGCCTGAGGCCTGTGATCCCCCAGGGCAGCTACTTCCTCATCACAGACATCTCAGACTTCAGTGAGTGAGACTGGCCTGGCTGGACTGGGTTTCGGGGCCTGGAGGCTGCCCAGGGCTCAGTTTGGCCTCTGTCCCCCAGAGAGCAAGATGCCGGACTTGCCCGGAGCTGCGGATGAGCCCTATGACAGACGCTTTGTCAAGTGGATGATCAAGAACAAGGTAGGCTGAGCCTCTGCCAGGGCCACGTTTTATGTATATTTTACAGGCTGTGCACCAGTAAGGGTTTCCAACGTGGGGGGCTGATGCACCAAACCCAGCCCAGCCTCTGCCGTGAGCCATGGTACAGGGTTGCATCCATTTCAAGGAATGGGGGAGCCTGTTTCTAATCTGCTCAAAGATACTTTGTGGGCTGGTAGGAATTCCTGCCCTCTGGGGCCTCAGTCTTTCCATCTGTACAGGGAGGAGCTGACCCATTAGTTCTGAGGTCCATCCAGCTCTGAACTATGATTCTAAGACATATTTCTTCTCTGGCTCTTCCCTGACCTGCCACATGATCTCCCCTCTCGGCCTCCCTCTCCCCTCTGTACGTAAGGAGAGACTTGGAATGATGCTCTGCGATGCTTTTCCTCTGACCTTGACACAGAAGTGGGAGATGCGGCATTGAAGCTGTCTTTCCTTCTGCCACCCCATGAGGGAGCCTCTCTGTCCCTCAGAGCCCCTCGAGGCCTGCTGGGCTGTGGGGCCCTGTTGAGACTTGGGCTTACTCCTTCCCAGGGCTTAGTGGCCATCCCGGTCTCCGTCTTCTACAGTGTGCTGCACCAGAAGCTCTTTGACCACTATATCCGCTTCTGTTTCATGAAGGTAGGGGACAAACCTAGGGGAGGGAAGGCCTTCCCAGCTTCCCAAGGTCCCCTAGGGGTTTGAAGACAGAGGTGGGACCAATCTGTTGATGCAGGATGAATCCACGCTCCAGGCCATGGACCAGAAGCTACAGATGTGGAAGGATGAGCTCAGGCCCTGACACCGCCCCCTCGGCCCTGCCCTGCCTGTTCCCTGCAGGCTCTGCAGAGCTATGTCTTTGTCCAGGTTTCAGCCATCCCAGATTAGGAGTAGATGGTGGTGGAGGATCCTTTCTCTGTAACACAGAATGACCCCAGGGAAGAACCCCCTTTTGGTCTAGGGGGAATCAGGAGCACCTCCCCATGGTGCATAGCTATGTTCCTTCTGCAGAGGTGAGGGAGGCCTGACCTGGGCCTCTCCCTGGCCCTCCTTATGCTGGGCTATAGTGTCTTGAGTCCCTTCTAGCCTCCCCAGACTCAACTGGAACTCAACGGGCAGAGCTCAACAGTGTATGGCCTTGGCTCCCAGCCCTGGCCTCAGCCATGCACTGGCCCCTTGACTAGCCTCAGGCTTCCCTTCCTTTCCTTATCGAACCTTGACCTTGGATAAGCTGCCTTTAGGTTTGAGTCCTCAGGACAGTACATTTTGCCCATAATAAAGTTTTAAGTTATTCAGACCCTTATTGGCTGCTTCTTTCTGCTTCATGCCCTGATGCTGATTGCTGACGGGAACCTCCATGAACCTCCATGAACCTCTGAACCTCAGATCCCAGCTTCTTTATACAAATGTGTTTGAGGCCCAGAGAAGGGCAGGGACTTGGGACTTGTCTGAGGTCACTCAGTTAATGATAAAATCAGGCCTAGGGGCTCAGATATGTGTTACTGTTGATGGGTGTGTGTGTGTGTGTGTGAGTGATGGGGGCCTATGATTATTGTGCACCCTTGCATGCTGGGCACTTGGATGCTCGTCATCTCATTAAACAAACAACCCTCTGAGACAGGAATTACTGCCTCCATTTTGCAAGTGAGGAAACCACTTTGGAGGTGAGGTGACATCCGGCTGGCAAAAGGTAGATGTGGGATTTGGTCTCAGGGGTGGGCCTCCCACTGGAAAACAATCAGCAATCAACTCCTGAATTCATTGGGAAGGTGGTGCCAGGGACTTAAAGTTGCATCTGCATAGGAAGTTCATGGGTTTTGCTCAGATTGTATATTTAATTGGGGGAGCTAATGGGAACATATGGTATAATAAAGTATATTTGGTCTTTGCCCCTAATTCCTGGCACAGAGCTCCTAAAACCCTTGGGATTTCCTGAATGATAGTGTCTTTCGTTATTCAAAATGAACCCCTTTGACCAAGTGATCAGAGGGTCAGGACTTTCAGTCCCAACCCCAGACCCCCAGTAGGCGAAAGGGACTGGAAGATGAGTTCAGCCTCATGTTTAATCAACCATGCACATGTAATAAAATTCCACATAAAAACCCTGAGTCAGTAAGACTCAGGGAGCTTCTGGTTGGCGAACACGATGAGATGGTAGGGTGGCCCATCAGGAGAGGGCATGGAATCTCTGCAGCTCCCTCCCCCAAGACCTCACTCTATGTACCTCTTCTGTTTGGCTGTTCCTGAATTGTATCTTTTATAATAAAACTGTAATTGTAAATCTAGCACTTTCCTGAGTACTATGAATCATTTTAGCAAATTGTTGAATCTGAAGGGGGTCATGGAAATGTCAGAATTGTAGTCAGCTAGGTAGAAGTGTGGGTGAACTGGGGACCTCATTTGCTGCTGGCATCTGAATGGGAGGCAGTCTTATGGGACTGAGCCCTTAACCTATGAGGTCTGTGCCAACTTGTCAGAATTAAAGTGTAGGACACCCACTTGGTGTCAGAGAATTCCTGTTAGAACATATTTGGTGTTAATGACAGAGGACACTTTTCCTCCCACCCCTTCCAGACCATAACTTTGTACTCCTACCACCATTCCAAAGTCAAGATTGTGAAACAAAATAACAACTCAGAGGCTCAGGCTTGGAGCCTCTTTGCTATACAACACATAGCCTGATAAGAATAAAGTTCTCCATGGGGGAAACCCACAGATTTCTCCCGTAGAGCACCCTGACCAAAGGTTTCACATCTCATGAACCAATCTAGAATCTGCCCATAACTCAAATTTGTGACTCTACAGAGGTTCCAGATCTTAGACTAGGTAACATCAGCCAACCTGAGATGCATAAATGACTTTGCTTTCTCATTCAGGTAGGGGAGCCAGGGAATGGTGAAATAAACACAACCCCTGTAACATTAACACACATACTGAATTAGAAATTATTCTCTCCTCTGCTAGGTTGTAAACGCCAGATCAGTATGTACTTTTGCTTAACATTGTGTCCCTGGCAGTTAGCAGAGGAAGATTCTGCCTCAGAATAGGCTCTGCTAGATAAATATTTGTTGATTGAATGAATATTGACTCAAATTTATTAGTTAAAAAAGAAAGTGTATCATTTATTTCTGGTGGGAATGCAAAATGGTAAACCACTTTGGAAGACAGTTTCGTAATTTCTTACAAAGCTAAACATAGTCTTACTGTTGGATACAGGAATTGGGCTCCTAACTATTAACCCAAATGAGCTGAAAATTCATGTCCATACAAAAACCTGCACATGAATAGTTATTGAAGTTTTATGCATAATTGCCAAAATACTGGAAGCAGGGGGGAAGGTGTAGCTCAGTGGTAGAGCACATGCTTAGCGTGCTCAAGGTCCTGGGTTCAATCCCCAGGACCTCCATTAAAAATAGATTAATAAAAACCTAATTACCTCCTCCCCCCCCAAAAAAATAATGGAGGCAACTAAATGTTCTTCAGAAGGTGAATGGATAAACACATTGTGGCATATCTGTACAATGAATAGTATCCAGCAATAAAAAGAAACGAGCTATCAAGCCACTAGAAAATATGTAGGAACCTTAAATGCATATTGCTTAATAAAAGAAGGGAGTCTGAAAAGGCTATATGGGCTGATTCCAGCTATATGACATTCTGGAAAAGGCAAAATTATAGGGACAGTAAAAAAGACCAGTGAATACCAGGAACTTGGGGATTGAGGGCAGGTAGTGGAGCACAGAGGATTTTTAGGGCAGTGAATCTATTTTGTATGACACTGTAATGGTAGATACATGACATTATGCATTTGTCAAAACCCATAGAATGTACTACACAAAGAGTGAACTCTAATGTAAACTATAAACAATGTATCAATATTCGTTCATCGATTATACCAAACATACACATTAATGCAACATGTTAACAATAAGGGAAACTGAGAGGGTTATTATATAGGAACGCCCTATATGTTCAATTTTCAGTAAGCCTAAATCTGCTCTAAAAAATAAAGTCTGTTAATTAAAAGGGAGAGTGAATGAAAGAATCTATGACTATACTTCAATAAAAAAATTTAAAAAAAGAATCTATGAAATAGCTGGATTAAATTATTTCCAGCTCTGAATCACATTCCTGCTCTGGGCCTCAAGGTCCCCATGAATAAAACCAAGCTGAGATTTGAGTTTCCTGCTCGCCCGGAGCCGGAGGGCAGCTCTCAAACCGTCCCACTGTTCAGAGAGCAGCACACACCTTGCGTATTTGGACACCCAGGCTGGCAGTGAGCCCCGCCCACCCGCGAGTCCTCCTCGGCCCACGTGCTCTCGGGGCAAGGTGCCTAGGCCACGCCCTCGCGCGCCATTGGCTCTCCGATTGGACGGCTCGGAAGAGGTGCAGCCGGAAGGGGTGAGTCTGATTGGTAGGGCGTGGCGGACTGTGTACGACGAACATGGCGGAGCGCGCGAGGAAGCGGCCCTGTGGCCCGGTAGGTAGAGGAACGTGGGACCCCGGGGTGGGGACAAGAAAAGGAGCCGCGTGGCGAGGGGGTCTGTGGCCGGGCGGGGCCGCGCCTCTCGCTCCCTGCTTCTCACTGATCCGAGGTCGGAATCCCCGAGGTGCCACAAGCCCGTGGCCTCAAGCGCCCCTCTCCGGATGAGAAGCGGAGGTGGTAGCCGCGGCTGTTTGCGCCAGAGCCGGGACTGCGTCGGGTAACCTATTGCCGGAACCCCTTGTGGCGACTCTGGCCGGGACCCGGATTTACGAGGCGGGACCTTGCTCACAATTCCGAGCCCTTTCGTGGCGTATGTCTTCTGACTCCCAAGGCGACAGTGTGCAAGTTGTCTCCCTGAGCCTGTTTCCTCTTCTCTCCAGTGGAAACTTATTCAACAATTTATTGAATGTTTACTATGTGTCAGGCCTGGTCTCAGGCACTGGGGGTACAGCAGGTCTTTGCCCTCCTGACGCTCTTTCTGGGGCAGCAATGTGTGTGTCGGGGGTGGGGGGTTCCCTGGTTTCCTCACCACCCCCACTTAAAGACATGGGACAGCTGTGGAGGAGCAAGTGTGACCCCCTCTCAGGTGTGACTATTCAGCATCACTCCTATTCCTCTTCCCACTCCTGCTCCAGGGTGAACATGGCCAAAGAGTGGAGTGGCGAAAATGGAAACAACAGAGTAAGTAAGGGGCTGGAGGGGGTGCTTACTGGGGAGCTGAGTGTTTGTGCTCACCCTTCTCCTAGGGCACTCCATCAGAACACAACTGAATCTTGGGGAAGAGCCACCAGGTTTGCCCCACTAGGACCAACAGTACCCAAAATGGGGAGGAAGGGGCCAGAAGCCCTGGGAGGCTCTTCTGGCCGCTCTCAGTAGCACTGGAGAGGGAGCCCAGGCTGACCCAGCTTTATGGCAACCTTGACCCTACTGAGAGGGCACCGTCTCCTGGACGGCTTCAAGTCCCTCTTCCCTCCACCAATCGAAATGTCCTCTTATCCAGAAAAAGAGGAGAAAAAGAAGTGGAAGGATCTCAAGATGACGAAAAAACTGGAGCGGCAGCGGGCGCAGGAGGAACAGGCAAAGCGCCAGCAGGAGGAGGAGGCAGCTACACAGAGGGAGGACCAGGGTAAGCAGGCTGAGTCCTGGGCAGGACCAGGAATGTCACAGCTGTAAGGACCCTTAGAGGCCAGTGGGTCCATACTTCTTGTCCTGATGGAGAAACTGAGACTCAAAAAGTGGGAGAGACCCAGAAAACTGAGCTCTAACTTTCTACTAAGGTAGATTTCAATCCTCTGGAGAGTAAGCATCATATATCATCACTTTGTGCCTCCAGAACCTCATCATTGTAATGATAGTTACTTTTCACTTTTTTTATGGAGCACTTTCTGTGTGCTTTCATTTTTCATTTAACTATTTTGATTTCGTAAGAAGAATGTCTTTTTTTTCTCATTAAATAATACAATGCTCAAACAATACAGAAAACGTTGCAGTTAAAGTTTCTCCAGGTGTTGTTAACATTCAGTTATTTACATGTAGAGAAGTAGAGAAATACAGTTTTACAAAAGTGAGACTGCTTTATCCAGGCACTTCTGGACCTGGTTTTTCTCATCCCACATTGTGTCCTGGATGTCCTTCCGTGTCCGTACATCTGGATTTGCCCTAACAAGTTGTATCTTTTCTCCTTGGCCAGACCCAAAGTTCTGGAGGATCAGGGGGCCATATTGTACCCTGTAAGCCCAGTGATTACCAGTGATGATGGTTGACAGTAGGGACAGAAACTGAACATGTCAGCTGTCTCAGACTGGGAAGCCCTTCGTGGGCCTTATGTCACGTGGTTCCCTTTGGACAACTCCGGGAGGGAAGGTGTGTTGGTCCCTCTGAAGCCAAACAGCCTGAACCCACGTCTCAGCTGTCCTGCCTGTTTTGTGATCTTGGGCCACGTGTTTGACCTCTCTGGGCTGTAGGTTCTCCACCTCTCAAGGGGGATCATGGTGGTACCTGATTTCTAGGGTTATTGGTTAAATGTGCACACATAAAAGGCCATAATGATAAATATAAATTCTCATTTTCATCATCATTTGACACCTGGAGAACCGAGGCAGTGAGGGGCAGAGCCAGGCTGAGAATATAGCTCAGTGCCTCTAACTACTCCCTGGCTGGCGTAGTGGTATATCCTGCTCCTGGGAGGCTTGGAGACCACCAAGTCCACTTTCTTTCTGGGGAGACTGAGGCCTAGAGAGGGGAGTTGGATCTATGTTGCTTATCTCAAAACTCCTCCCAGTGGGAAAAGCCTCTAACTCTGGGCCCTGGGATTAGAGGAGTGGAGGGGAGAGATGGCCTTGGCATCTCAGACTGACCATGAACACCCCTGTCCTGTCCTGCCCAGGGCGGCACTACACCCTGAGCGTGGCCCTGCCAGGCTCCATCCTGGACAATGCCCAGTCGCCCGAGCTTCGCACCTACCTGGCCGGCCAGATTGCCAGAGCCTGTGCCATCTTCTGTGTGGATGAGATTGTGGTGTTCGATGAAGAAGGCCAAGATGCCAAGTGAGGGGCCATCCAACAGGGTACCAGGGAGAAGGGAGCGGCTGCCCAGATTGTCTGGGCTTCACTTTTTTCCCTGCCTACTTGCCTGGGCTGAAAATCCTGTCTGACATGGCCCCATCGTAACCCTGCTGGGTTGAGTTACAAAGCAAGGGTGCTGCAGAGGTCATGTTGGGAAGAGGAGCTCTTGAAGGGAACCCAGTAGCCTTTAGCCTTATCTTTCTCTCTCCAGAACTGTGGAGGGGGAATTCAGGGGAGTTGGCAAGAAAGGGCAGGCGTGTGTGCAGCTGGCCCGGATCCTGCAGTACCTGGAGTGTCCACAGTAAGGGAATGAGGGACAGACGTCCCAGGGCATGAGGGAGGGATGGTCGCAGTGCAGGCCACACAGGAAGTGGCCTCCCTGGGAACTTCCTGAGATTGACATCCTCTACTAGGTACCTAAGAAAGGCATTCTTCCCCAAGCATCAGGATCTACAGTTTGCAGGTAAGCCTGGGGGGTGGGGGTGAGACTGACTCCCTATTTCCTGTAGATTATCCCCCAGACCCTGAGAGATCATGGTACAGGCGGGAGAGCAGGCCCAGGCAGGGCAAGGCCTGTGTCTGGGGACGAACAGCAGGTCTGGCAGAGCTAGGACTTGGATCAGGGTTCCCTGCCTCACTCCTGTATGCCTGTGCACCTCCCAGACTCTTTCTGGCCCCTCCCCAACCACAGGGCTCCTGAACCCCTTGGACAGCCCTCACCACATGCGTCAGGATGAGGAATCCGAGTTCCGAGAGGGCGTTGTGGTGGACCGGCCCACACGGCCAGGCCAGGGCTCCTTTGTCAACTGTGGCATGAAGAAGGTAGGAATTGGAGGGTGGGCAGAGACATGCTTCCCAGACATAGCCTGGCTATGGAGGGCAGGCAGGGGCATGTGGGTGGGAAGCCCTGGACCCAGGCATCTCTGCCTGCCCGTCCCTCGTTGGTACAGATTTGGGCCAGAGAAGTTCCTAAAATGGAGCTCAACAGTTAAAGCCAGGAGCAAACTTACTGTTTTCTAAAAAGCAAATCAACAGGAGATAGTCCTTGCGCTAAAACAAACTAAAGCAAAACCCTGCAAAATCAAGTTCAAAATCCCACTGGGGCTGCTCCCATGTGACACTAGGGATCCACTTGCCAAGTCAGAGGCAGAAGCAGTTAAATGTGTGGGGATCCCCTCCCTCTGAAAAAGAACAGACCAGAGGTAGCCAGCGAAAAGCAGACCAGGATGACCCATACCCAGATGAGAGGAGAAACCCTCAAAAGGGCAGAAGGTGCTCCATCCTGAATTCAAAACTAGGGCAAAACGCCAACATCAGCTGTCCTTCATCACAGCTCCCATGTTTTTGGCAGTTGCTTCATGCCAGGCCCTGGGCAGTACATTAATAGCTCTTGTTTATGGGAAGTTTTCTCTGACAGATTAGGAAACTCAGGCTGGGAGAGGTTAAGTGACCACTCAAACTCCTGTAGCTAGTAAGTGGCATAGCCACCAAAATGTGGGACACTGGGGTTTCATTTACTCTGAAATACTTCCTACTCTGTGCCAGGGCTGGACTGATTTATTTAATTTTTTGGAGTGTAGTTGATTTACAATGTTGTGTTAGTTTCTGGTGTACAGCATAATGATTCAGTTATACACGTGGTTTCTAATAACCTATAATGAAAAAGTAAATATGCACACACACACACAAATATATACATACACAGATGTATATATACTATATATACTTACTTTATATATATATATACCGATCATTTTGACCAGTGTCTTGCGGTAGTCATTTTGCAGGAATGGCCTCTTGTGAGCAGGTTTAGCCCAGGTGATGGGGCTGGGGCACAAAGGTGTCCTGGACCCCTCAGGTCCCCCCATGTTTGGGAGAGCAGTCCTGCAGGGAACAGCACCAGTTTCTTCTGGCTTCTCCCCAGGAGGTGAAGATTGACAAGAACTTGGAGCCTGGACTTCGGGTAACAGTGAGACTAGACCAGAAGCAGCTCCCAGGTATCTGAAAGCTTCCCCAGCCTGGCCAGCCTGCGGGCTCCAGACCTCCTTCTGCCACTTCCTTGTCCCCTTATACTGTCTTCACAGACTCTCTGCTTCCCCTCCAGAAAGCAAGACCTATCGTGGAAAAGTCGTGTCGTCGCAGGACCCTCGCACCAAAGCTGGTCTCTACTGGGGCTACACAGTCCGCCTGGCCTCCTGCCTCAGTAAGGACAGCTTCCTCCCGTGAATATCTATCCTCTCTCTATCTGAGGGGCCACAGAGAGCCTTGCTTGACCCAAAAGTCAGACCAGAGTCCTAATTCTACCAACTTGCTGTGTGTCCTTAGGCAAGTGCCTTTCCTTCTCTGGACCTTGGTCTCCCTAAGTGCACTGCCTGGAATGGAATGCTTTTAAGCTATTTTGTGTGTGTGTGTGTGGGAAAGCATCTTGACTGATTTATAATGTCTGCCATGGGGTTGGGAATTGGGGCAATAGGACCACATAAGTCAAAGGTCCACTACTTGTTTTCTTTCCTTTTGTTTTTTCATTGTAAACTCAGACTTTTTCCCCATGTTCTTTATTTTTTTAATGCATGTATTTTATAATATATTTTTAAAATTGAAGTATAGTTGATGTACAGTATTATATGTTACAGGTATATAATGTAGTAATTCATAATTTTTAAAGGTTATACTCCATTTATAGTTATTATAAAATATTGGCTGTATTCCCTTTGTTGTACAATACATTCTTGTAGCTTATTTTATACCTGACATAAACTCAGACTTTTAATAAGTTTAGGAAAAACAGAAGATGGGGTATAATTTGAGTTAACATTTTTACAGCCCATACTGTTGTTGTGTGATAACACTACCTGATAACACTTCTTTGCCCTGCCTGCTCAATTCCTGACTTCCCAGTGAAGGGCTTAGTGTGGATCCCTCACCTCCCTCCCTTACCTCTACCACCACCCTCCCGATACACGCACAGCCAAGCGGCTGTGGCTTGTGGGGAACAGGGCCCCCAGTGAGCTGGCCTCCCCCCAGGTGCTGTGTTTGCTGAGGCCCCCTTCCAGGATGGCTATGACCTGACCATCGGGACATCAGAGCGAGGCTCAGATGTGGCCTCTGCCCAGCTTCCCAACTTCAGGTGGGTGTAGCCGGGAGAGGAGGAATGGAGCAGGGGAGGGACTGGTGGGGGCAAAGCTGTACAGACTGGGCCCCTACTGTGTACAGGGGGTTGCTGAGAGCTCTGGGGGCTGCATTCAGTGGGCCTTGATGGCAGTCAGTGATTCCCAACTCCTGTGGGTGCCAGGCACGCTCTCGTTGTGTTTGGGGGCCTCCAGGGGCTAGAAGCTGGCGTGGATGCTGACCCCAACCTGGAGGTGGCTGAACCCAGTGTCCTCTTCGACCTGTACGTCAACACCTGCCCCAGCCAGGGAAGCCGCACCATCCGCACAGAGGTGAGCCCACCCGCCTCCCACCCCAGGCTAGTTCCCGAGGTTCAGCCAGCAGCCAGGGGATGGAGCCTCGGGGTCTGCCCAAGGAGGGGTTGCAACTCTCTCCCTGTCCCTCACCCCGCCCAGGGCTGTCCTGAGCCTGCCTTCTCTAGAGAGGTCTCACCCCCTCGGCCTCCTACCATGGCAGAATTGCAGCAGGGACGAGTTAAGAGCGAGCTGGGAGTCAAGAATCTTGGGTGCTGGTGTCCGTTCAACTGCTCCCGGACTGGAAGACCCAGGACGACCTTGCCTGCCCCTGCTCTGGGCCCGTTTCCTTGGCTGTATGCTCAGTGTTCGCTTCCCCCTGTGTGGCCGTGGTGGGCAGGGCAGCCCTCCCCACTGGCCTCACTAGCACCTCAGATCCCTGGGGGACAGGATGTAGCCACCTCTGAGAGCCTTCAACCTGGGCCTCCGCTTCTGAGGGCAGCACAGAACACTGTGTCTGTGGGCACTTTGCTGGGGGAAGGCTTCTGCTGGTCTCAAAGGGTAGTGACTGAACAGGTGGACGGCCTCAGTCTCCCTGTGTCCAAGAGCCCTGCCAGGGCCAGGTGCTGCCAGCTCGCCAGCCACAGCCTCCAGCAGCAACCCCTGCTCTCATTCTTCCGATACCTGCACGGAGGGCCCTCCTGCCCGTCACCTCCCGTGCCCCTGCCCCTGGGAGGCAGATCTGATGACCATCCCCATTTTACGGAGGAAGAGACTGAAAAGCAGAGAGGCAGGGCCCTTCCCTGGCAGGGCCTGCAGCTGGCCAGTGACAGATCTGTAGGACGAAGCTGGGTCTGTCCTTAACCTCCTCGGGCCCTGCCAAGGCAGCTACCCCAAGGGGCTGGGAGCTGGGCACGCGCCAGCCTCCCAGGCCCCAGCCTGTGGTGTGTTTCTCTTCCAGGAGGCCATCCTCATCTCCCTGGCTGCCCTGCAGCCTGGTCTCACCCAGGCAGGAGCCCGGCCCAGCTGAAGGTTCTGTCAGGCCAAAGATGGCAAAGGAGCAGCAGTGAAGCCAGAGGTTCCCAGGAGTCACCTGAGACTGATGCAGCCAAGGCTTGTCTCCAAAAATAAACACCTTTAACTTGACCCAGCCCCAACAACCCCACAGTCTGGCTGGGGCTGCCCCTTACTTGCTGCCTGCAGTGATGGCCTTAAGGTTGCTGGTCCGTGCTAGGATATTTGGCACAAAGAGCAGCCCCGAGGCCCGCTCAATGCTCTCGATGGGCACCAGGAAGCGCTCCAGCGGGATTGCCTCATCCACAGGCGCGTTGGGCATCACATAGGAGCGGAGTTCGATCTGCCCGCCTGCTGCCTCCAGGATCAGCACCTTGAAGAAGTGGGTGGGCACCGCCACGTGGTTCTTGCCAATCACCTGGTACTTCACGTAGGACTTCCCGTCAGCCTCCGTCCTGTGGGCAGACCCAGGCACACAAGGCCTTTCAAGGCTTCTTTGGTCGGACACAAGGCCTCCTCCTTCAGGAAGCCTTCCCTGACTCAACCTCCAACTTGGGTCAACCTGCAAGACCACCCGCTCAGCATGAGGCTTCTCTGCCCTGCTTGGCTCCCCCAGGAGGCTGGGAGCTTCCTGCAGGGTAGAGACTCACTCTTACCCTCTTTTCCTCATGTCCAACACTGGGTCAGGCAGAGTGGGTGGTGGCAATAAATGCTGCAGAAGGAATCAAGTCTTCTAAACATCCACATTTATCCATGCAGACCCTTGATTACTGTCCGCCTTTCCCTGTGGAGGGTGCGGACCAAGGGGCAGGGCTGTGACAGCTGGATTCCCAGCACTAGCAGAGGGCCTGGTGCGAAGCAGGTGCCCAGAACACTGAATGCGTGACTTCAGGCTAAGCCCCAGCAGAGCCTACCCCACTATAGCCATAGGAGACACTTGCTAATTAAAGTTTAGCAGGGTCCCAGCCCCCGCCTCAGCAAGCCCACACTGAGCCCTTACTACACTGACATTCACCATCCCACTTTGTCCCTGGAACAACCATGAAGTAGCTAATGGGTATCATCCCCATTTTACAGGGGAGGATGTTGAGGTCATTTGCCCACAGCTCCCAGAGACTAGGTGACTGCCTGGCTTCCATCCCAGGCAGAGCTAGCTCCTTTGCGACAACCTCTTGCCTCACTCATCCCAAAAAAATAAGCGAGCAAGCCCAAAAGAGCGAAGGCTCAGGGAGCTGGAGTTCAAACCCGGGCTCCGGGGGAGCATAGGGGAAGGCTGCTCCAAGCAGAAGAGCCTGGTGCAAGGGTTTCTATCTGGGCAGATCTTGGAGTTAGGTGGATGTAACAAGAGATGACACAGGAGAGTGGAGCAAGGGTAGAATCAGGGCCTGGTGCCCATGGGCCTAGGAGCTGTGGTCTAGGTTGGTAGGTACTCCAAAGGTCTCTTTGGAAGTGGAGTTAGGGGGCTGGAAGCAGAGATGGATAGATATGCTGAGAAACCATATGAGTGGGAGATGCTGGTGTCCCCAGGTCCCCCTGCTCTAGCCTTACCTGGGCAGGAAAAGCGGCCCCGTGCAGACATAGACATTTTGGTAGGTGCGGGTCAGGCTGCGGCTGTACTTTTCCAGGTTGTTCCAGGCATTCTGGTTGAGGTGGGGCACCTGGCAGAAGAGGTGGGCCTCAGTGAGACTAGCTGGGACACTTGTAGCTGTCAGAGGGCTGCCCCAGGCCCTGAGGGGCAGGCACTGGCACCCAGCCAGAAGATTCCAGCAGCAGGGTGGGAGGTGGGGACAAGCTTGCAGACGAAATGGGCAGATGGAAGGAGAGTCAGTGGGCCACACAGTCGTGAGGGTGGAGCCCAGATAGAGCTCAAAGGGTGCTAGCTCGTCCCCATCCGGAATGGGAGAACTAGCATCCCAGGTCTCAAAGCTGTTTCTCAGCTCCGAAGAGCCATATGGAGTAAGGGGGCAAATCTCCTGACTGCAGAGAGAGAAACAGGCCTGCCCTTGCCCCCAAGGGCTGATGGGAAGACCAGCTCTCCCAACCATCCCTCCTTTCCTTTTCCTAGTCTGAACCACATGCAGAGCCCAACTGGGAAGGGCATGAACCTGCTCCTGACTCCATCACTTGAGCTCTCCGGTCCTCAGCACAGGGTCTAGTCAAGTGGGTAGGGAACTGTGCCCCTGAGAGAGCAGAAAGTCAGGTCAGAGACTGGGATCCCATGGGCTTCGATCAGAGCCCGACATCGGTCTCCACGTGGGTGTTAGGCCCTGGTGGGAACAGGACTAGAGGTAGGGCAGCTAGTCCAGGGTGTGCGGTGACTGCTACTAACAGCCGACTGTATGCAGGTATCTTCTTTAACTCCTCCAGACAGACTGCCTGGGTCTCGTCCAACTGTATGACACTGGGCCAGTCACCTGGTCTCTCTGAGACCCACTTCCCTCGTTATAGCTAGTATTTACTGAATGCTTGCCATGGGCCAGGAAGTGTGCTAGGTACTTTTATGTGCATGGTGTCTTCAGTTCCTCAGCGCTACTGCAGGAGATAGGTGAATAACAGTATTATCCCTACAGGCTAGGAAACTGAGGATCAGGAAGGCGCCTGGGGGCCCTCAGTTAAGATCAGAGTGCAGAGGGGTTGCCCAGCGCCCCACTGCTCGGTCCCTCCTGCCTAAGGCCCCGCGGTGTGATGAGCTAGGCGCTTGACCTAGAGCGCGCATTCGGCAGCTTTCCCATTCTGCAGCGGAGCAAACCGAGGCTCAAAGGGGTGGCCTCGCCTTCCGCTGCCGGGGCCGGGGGCAAAGGCGCTACCTGGGGCGCGACGTTGCTCAGGTAGAAGGTGTCGTCCATGGCCTTCTGGCTCCAGCGGTGGTTGGCGGCGGCGGCCAGGTGGCCGCGGTCGAAGCCGCTGCCGCGGTAGTCGGCGTTGGTGGCGCGGTGGTACGCATGCACCGAGTCGTCTTCACGGAAGTCGCAGGAGCGGCGGTCACCGTCGCCGCGGAGCCGCTCGGGCCGCAGCTGCTCGACAACCCAGAGCGCGCCGCGGGTGCGCGGGTCATAACACAGCAGGTACGACTCGCGGCTCTTGATCTGCGCCAGGCCGGGCAGCCCGTACTTGGCCAGCTCGCCCGGGCTGCCGCTCGCCAGGGCCCCGGACACGGCTGGAAGCTCAGCCGCCGCTGCCACGGGCAGCACGGGCAGCCGGCTCAGCAGCCCCGGCGCCTCCGGTGCGTCCGCCCGCCGCCGCCACCGCCAGCCCTCAGCGGCTGCGCCCAGCCCCGCGCCCAGCGCCAGGGTCAAGCCGGCCCGCAGCGCCTGCATGCTCGGGGATTGTGGCCGAAGCGTGGACAGAGGGCAACTGGCTGTGCGGAAAGAACGCCGCGACCTCCGGCGTCCGACTGGTGAGGCTCTTAAAGGGGCCGCGCCGGCCTGCGGGGCCCACGGTGGGGATGGGGCCGGGGCCAGGTGGAGGCGTGAGAAGGCGAAACGTCCGTCCCTTCCACTCACACACGCTCGGAAGTATTTAGGACCCCAATAGTAGAGGTCAGGACCGGACGACTGAACGTCCCCGCGCCCTTTCTATGCCCTTTTAAGATGGGGATCTGAGAAGGCGCGGCATCACCGCCTCGGCTCGTGATTGGCCACCCTCAGGCCCGGCTCCGCCCCGCCGCCTCAGTCTCCATCCAGGGATCTTCCGGTCCGCGCCGGTGTGAAGAGGTCCTACTTGATGATTACAAGTGTCAAATATTCTCTAAAGGGCTTATACTACGACTAGATTTAATCCTCAAGAGCCCGGAAAGGGAGCTCCCAGTTGGCAGAATAAGGTCAAGACCCCAGATCTGTATGACGTCAGTCTAGCCACCTAACCATTACACCGTAAGACAAGGCAAAACTTCTAGGAGATTCGCAAAGATTTTAACACTCAGTGTGAGGACAACGATGCAGGAAGCCCATGCTCTTTAACTGCTGAGTGGGTTCCAGAAACTGGCTGATTCCAGAAAGCAGCTTGGGATAAATGAAAAGCCTTAAAAAGGTTCATACCTTCTAACTCATTCAGAGGACTAAGCTGGGAAATAAACCAGGAATACAAGGGTTTCACATACGAAATCTCCCCCACTGTTCCTTATAATAGAGGCTGGGGACTAAGCAAAATATTGAGAAATAGCGACTGGTTTGGGGCATTTTTAGTATATTAGATAAAACAGTATATAGCCCATACAAATAAAATCATACAGCAACTTGCTCACAACCTAAAGGGGGTAGACAATACACAAAACAATACATCAGGAAAATGACAATTATATAATACAAATTACATCTGCAAATAAAAGACTAACATATTATCAGTGCCAGATTGTGGGCTATGAGTGACTGGTTGAATTTCAATGTTTTTCAATTAAAAAAAAACTTGCTATGAAATCATGATGTAATACCTTCTGCCCCAGTCCACACTCCCTCCTCCCCTCAGCCCACATTGCAGTAGTTAAATGAGCGTTGCTGAACAGGGTCTTCAAACAAAATTTCCTAGCCTTTTCCTTTGACTACTGTAAGAGCCTCCTGACTTCACCTCTGCTCAAGTATTTTTTCCTGCTCCAAGGTCTGGAAGGTTTCAGCCCATCACAGAACCAATGCCCACTGCAAAGAACACATGATTTATTAAAGACAACTTGTCAACAGCATTGGTTCAAAGAATGAAACAAATGAAAAAACAAAAGCAGACTAACATTCTGATCCTTGGAGTGAGACTTGCTGAATTCATACAGCCCATTCTTTAGGTATCCAAAGTCCTGGGGGGCAGCTTCCCAAGCAGGAAGCTTCGGGATCTCTGGCTCTCTGGGGACCTCCGTTGAGTCTGGGGAGGGGAGACTGCCAAGCACAGGTCCTCTCCTCAGGCAGTATCCACTGGGGAGCTCAGTCTAACATGGACATGGTCCCTGCGCTCTTGACCTTCATCCCAAGGTCAAGGAGAGGGCACTGGACCAATGTCAGCCACTGAGGCAAATTAGATGCAAAGATTTCAAGTAGTATGGGCACAGGAAGGAAGGCAGAGGGACAGGCAAGAGGGAATGCATCAGGTGTCCTGGGCAGTGTCTGCTGGGTCCCTGCCTGTGGCCCAAGCCTTAGGCTGTGAAGGTATCAAGTTGGAGCTGAACGACCAGCTGACAAGTTCTGGGAAGAGGGTGAGCCAGGCTGGTGGGAAACAGTATGCCAGGTCTTGGAATCTGGCAAGGATACCAGCCTTCTCGCTTCTTATTCCCAGTTCTGTTACAGAGCTCAGAGCCCTTCTAGCCAGGACCTGCTAGAAAACCAGGAAGGTCCCAGAGGCAGGGAGAGGATGCTGACTCTGACCTTGGAAGGTCAGGAAGACCATGTCTCCAACTCATACACCTTTCTAGCCCCACCCTTCGTCCCCAAATCAAACACTTGCCAATCTGCAATAAATAACCAGGAGTCTGAATAAATAGTAAAAAATTGCCCAAATAACTGTTGGGAGAGGAGGCAAAAGGGCAAGTGCATGAAGTCCCAGAAGCAACCAAGGTACAGCCTGGAAAGGAGCCGCCTGGGGAAAGCCGTCCCTGGCCCACAGCCAGGAGTCCTAGCCGTCAGACTCAGGAAGGTGCTGGGGGGGGGGGCCTGAGGACCCCTGCTGGCCAGTCTTGAGATGAAAAGGACCCTTGCTACATTCCCCAGCCTTCCAGGCACAAAACACCTGCCTCCTCACAGCACG